CAGCCACTCGATGTGTTCCTTTCACATCCATGTTTCTCCCTCTCTCTCTGTTCCTCTCTCTCCCTCCCACTCTACCTGAACAATAAAAAATGGAAAAATGTCCTCGGGTGAGGATAAAAAAAAAAAAATGTCCCATTCTTTTTCTAAATAAAATAAAAAAGAAGAAAAAAAAAAAAAGAAAGAAAAAAGAAATAGAGGAAGATATAAAAAAGTGGAACCACATACCTTGTTCATGGATTGAAAGAATTAACATCATTAAAATGTCCATACTACCCAAAGCAATCTATAAATTCAATTCAATCTCTATAAAAATACCAATGATATATTTCACAGAACTAGAACAAATACTTCAAAAGTTCATAAGTAATCAAAAAGACCCTGAATTGCCATAGTAATCTTTAAAAAGAAGGACAAAATGGACATAATACCAGATATCAGGTTATACTACAAAGCCACTGTAATCAAAACAGCCTGGTACTGGCACAAGAACAGGCACAGAGATCAATGAAACAGAACAGAAAACCTGGAAATTGACCCAAGACATTATGCTCAATTAATATTTGACAAAGGTGGCAAGAGCATACAATGGAGTAAAGACAGCCTCTTTAATAAATGGTGTTGGGAAAATTGGACAGCTACATGCAAAAAAATGAAATGAGGCCATCAACTTACACCATACACAAGAATAACCTCAAAATGGATAAAAGACTTAAATGTGACTTGTGAATCAATAAAAATCCTAAAAGAAAATGTAGGCAACAAAATTTCACACAACATACGCAGCAGAATTTTCACTGATACATCACCTAAGGCAACAGAAACAAAGGAAAAAATGAACACATGGGACTACTTCAAACAAAAAAGCTTCTGCACAGCAAAAACAACCATCAAAATGGAAAAGGAACCCACAATATGGGAGAGCATAAATGCCAACAATACATCAGAGAAGGGGTTAATTTCCAAAATATATAGAGTGCTCATACAACTTAACACAAGGATGAAAAGGAACCCAAATGAAAAATGGGCAGAGGACCTAAACAGACACCGCTCCAAAAAGGACATACAAAGGGCCAAGAGACATATGAAGAAATGCTCAATGTCACTAATCATCAGAGAGAAATGCAAATTAAAACAACTATGAGGTATCACCTCACACCTGCCAGAATGGCTGCCATCAACAAATCATCAAACAAGTGCTAGAGAGGGTGTGGAGAACAGAGGACCCTAGCACACTGCTGTTGGGAATGCAGACTGGTGCAGCCGCTATAGAAAACAATATGGTGTTACCTCAAAGAGTAAAAATTGATCTGCCATTTGACACAGTGATCCCACTTCTATATATCCTAAGAAGCCTGAAACACCAATTAGAAAGAATATATGTACCCCCATATTCATAGCAACACTATTTACAATTGCTAAGATCTGGAAACAGCCCAAGTGTCCATCAGTGGAAGAATGGATAAAAAAGCTGTGGTACGCACATACAATAAAACACTATGCAGCTGTAAGAAAGATTTCTTATCCTTTTTAGATGACATGGAGGGACTTGGAGAGTATTATGCTAAGCAAAATAAGCCAATCAGAGAATGACAAATACCACATGATCTCACTTATTTGTGGAATATAATGAACAAGGTGGGCTGATGAATGAAATACACCAGAGATATAGAAAGGAGTATGGTTCAGACTGACAAACCTCAGAGGAGGGGGGCAAGGGGAATGGATGAGATGAACCAAAGGAACTATATGCATGTATGCAGAACAAATGGACATAGACAACAATACTGGGAGGGGGGAAGGGGGGCAAAATGGAGAGGAGGATGTCTAGGGGGGGAAAAGGAGAAACATCTGTAACAAAAATAAATTAATGAAAATGGAGGGAAAAAATAATCCAAAAAATGAGGATAGTGTAAGGAGCCTCTGGACAACTTCAGGCATGCCAACATTCGTATCATGGGGGTGCCGGAAGGAGAAGAGAGAGAACAAGAAATCGAAAACCTAATTGAAATAATGATGACTGAAAACTTCCCTAACTTGGTGAAGGAAACAGACATCCAAGTCCAGGAAGCACAGAGAGTCCCAAACAAGATGAACCCCAAGAGGCCCACACCAAGACACATCATCATCAAAATGCAAAAGGTTCAAGACAAAGAGAGAATCTTAAAAGCAGTAAGAGAAAAGCAGTTAGTTACCTACAAGGGAGTTCCCATTAGGCTGTCAGCTGATTTCTCAAAAGAAACTTTGCAGGCCAGAAGGGAGTGGCAAGAAATACTCAGAGTGATGAAAAGCAAGAACCTACAACCAAGATTACTCTATCCTACAAAGCTGTCATTTAGAGTCGATGGACATATAAAGAGTTTCCCAGACAAGAAAAAGCTAAAGGAGTTCATCACCACCAAACCGTTATTATATGAAATGTTGAAAGGTCTTCTTGAAGAAAAAGTAGATCAAAAATATGAAGAAACAAAAATGGCAATGAATACATATCTATCGACAACTGAATCTACAAACAAAATGAGCAGGCAGAACAGAAACGTTCTCATAGATACAGAGAACATTTGTTGGTTGCCAGACGGGAGGGGGTTGAGGGCATGGGTGAAGAAGGGAAGGGATGAAGAAGTGCAAATTGGTTGTTAGATGGACAAACCTGGCAGGGCAGCGGGGCAGGGGGGAAATAAACCAAAGAACTCCTATACATATGTGCATCCCCAGTGGACACAGGCTACAGTGCGGGGAAAGGCAGGAGGGGTGTGGCATTGGGGAGGAGGGGGTCAATAGGGGAAAAAGGACAATCTGTAATACATTCAAAACTAAAGATAAGTTAAAAAAAGAAAAGGAAGAAAGAAATGGGGCTGGAGCTGGAGCCGACGGGCAGGTCTGGTCTACAGGACCCGAACGGCAGAGCGCGAAGGGTTTCCCGGGCGGGCCGGGCCAGGTCTGTGCTCACAGCTGACTCCACGCACAGCTGAGCAGAGGCAGGATGATTCTGGAAAGCCCCAAGGGGAGCCAGGGGGCTAGGAAGCCTGGCCAATGGTCGCAGGGGAGTAGGCCGTGGCATGGCCCAGTGGGGTGAACCCGGGATCTGGGAGGCCGCCGGGGGCAGCCCTCGAGGCGGTGTGGGGGCAGAGGTGGGGCGGGACGGCGGGCTGGGGGGCGGCCCTTATGCACTGAACCACCTGCAGTTGGTGCCGGGCACTCAGGGGGGGTAGTGGCTGATTTGTGAGCTCCCCAAGGACGGTGATGTGCGGGCAGTGGGAGGGGCCGTGTGGGCATCCATCCCGAGATGGGCAGTGAATGGCCTGCTGTCATTCCAGGGACAGAGCTGAGGACGCTGCAAACCAGCCCAAAGGATTCCCCAGCTCATCCCTTCCAGAGCCCCGCCCCCACAGAGCCCCTCCCCGGCTGTCCCTGGGCACGAGGTCACCGTGCACGGCCAGCACACCCGAGGCAGGGCACCCAACGGGAAACACTGAGGTTTATTTATTCATTGTTTTTTATTTATTTTAGAAAGAGAGAGCGAGAAACCTTGATGAGAGAGAACATCGATGGGCACCTCCTGCACGCCCCCCACTGGGGATTTGGCCCAGGACCTGGGCATGTGCCCTGACCGGGAACCGAACCAGCGACCTCTTGGTGCAGGGTCGACGCTCAACCACTCAGCCACACCGGCTGGGCTACATATATACATGTTAATAGAAGAACATTATAAAAACATGTAAAAAGCCCATTATACATATAACTATAAATAGGTAAAGAAAATTATGAAGGCATGTAAACATTTGGTCTCGATAATTTTAAATTTCAAGCATTTAACAGAGAAAAGAGATAAACCACAGAACTTATATGGTAATGTTATTCATAACTCACGGGGACAATAGTTAGGTGGGGGGGGGATTGGGAGGAGGGGTGTCTAGGGGGACATGAAGAAAAATATGTAATAAAAATCATTTAAAAATAATTTGAAATTAAAAAGGTGTCTGTCACTGGAAGACAGTCACTGTCACCATGTCCAGTCAAGGCCACACTCTGGGCCTGGCACAGGGACATCACAGCAACTCGTAGATCAGAGTCGGGCGTGGCAGAAACAACCATCAAAGCGAATGGTGGAACCTGTTGTAACCCAGGAGATCGACCACACTCAGACTCAATTTTTCAGTTTTTGGGGTTGTTTTATCACCTGCGCAGGGACTGCAGCCAACCTACACAGAGGAGAACTGCAGCCCCGAGCTCAGCGGGAGGGTTGCTTATATAGGACAGGGGTCACTCAAGAGTTTAGCAGAGCAAGCAAGCTGCGTGTACAGAAGCAGATATCAGCAGTTAGTAACTGCACACGTTGTTTATTTTACATTTCTTAACATTCACTAGACCCCAGCCTTGAATGCCTCATTGTCCCGTCTGGCATCTCCTGATTAGTTAAGCTCATGGTCCTGGCTGATGCATACCTTCCTCTTCAAGAGTTTTTGCAAAAACAACTCGGGTTCAAGGAACCCAGGAGAGGTTCCTTCTTCTAGCAGATGGAGAATTACTGGGTTATAACAGCCCACGAGGAGCAGCCGCCGGGGCGCCAGGCAGTGCCGCCGTGTCCTGCCCGGGCAGAGAGGCCTCTTGCAGTGACCTCCCCACGGGCAGCTTTACACGGACTCTCCTCAGACCAGACGGGGGGCTGGCCCATCCGGGACTCATGAAGGCGCCCATGGGACACACCTGGAAAGAAGCTCCTAGCCCTGGCGCTTTGGCTCAGCGGTTAGAGCGTCGGCCCACGGTCCAGAGAGACCGGGGTTCGGATCCCGCTAAGGGCACGTACCTCGGTTGCAGTTTGTCCCCAGCCCTGGTTGGGTCGTGTGGGTGGCGACCACTCCATGTGTCCCTTTCATGTCGATGTTTGTCTCTCCCCCTCCCGCCCACTCTATCTGAACAAAATATTGAAAAATGTCCTCGAGTCGGGATAAAAAACAAGTAGCTCCGACCCTCCCATTAGGACACTGTATGATGTCACCACAGATGATGAAAACCTTTATTCTAGTTCGGGGTCTCTGCGTGACTACCTATGATATTTTCCGCAATCAACATGTTTATAATATTTTGCAAAGGCTCATGTAAACCCCTTTGGTGTAAGACGGCCATGAGTCGGAACACGACCCTTCCCGTATCCTCCTTCAAGCAGACAGTTATCTGATGATGCGGTTCCATCAGAGTCCCCGGGTTGTCATGATCACAGACCTCAGCGCCGTTTTCCTCAGTGCCGACAAAGTTCATGAATATCTTCCAATCGTGTTCTGGAAGCTTCTGTCTGAATTCATGATAAAGCGTATTGATGGCTGACGAGAGAAAACCAGGGAGGGAGACGTGGCTGAGACCTCCCAGGTACACATCGCGACCGCGGTCACTGCTGCTGCCTCTGGGGGCCTGGAGCCGGCTGGCACAGCATGCCCGGGGCACGCGGCCCGGGCCCACCCCAGCTGACCTCGAAGAAGGGGCCCGGCTGCGGGGCCAGGAGACCGTGGGCGGCCACGGCCTGGCGTGGTCCTTGCCCAGCCTTAGCTCATTCCTACTGGAGCCAAGAAGCCTGGCAGAAGAGGCTAGGGTCCGGGGGGTCGTTGCCCTGGGGGGAGAAGGGTCCGGGGAGGCTGGCCCTGACCTTCCTCTGCAACGACACCAGAGAGGCGGAGAGGCCGGCAGGACAGAGGAGGCTGCCGCCAGAGGAGCCTTGTCGAGGATCTGAGACCTGGGACAGTTCTGAAGGGGACTGTCTGGCTCTTGAGTCTTAAGTGGGGTGGTGTCCCCCAGCTGTTAGGAGGAGGAGATTACAAAGCCCCCCGTAGGCAGCACGTGCTCACTTCAGTCCTGCCTCGGCCCCAGGGAGAGCATCACTGCCAATAGGGGACCCGCGGTCACGGGCGACAGAGACACACGTCCCTCGCCACGTCCGTCCTTACTTAAAATCACGAGCAGTCTGAAGCGAAGCCTTCCCTCATCGCGAGCAAAGGCCCGCGTTCCCTGAAGTCACCAGTGAACGCGAGGAAGGAAGTCTGAGGTCCCCGGAAAAGTCCCCCGAGCTTCCTGCGGGTAGCCCAACCCCCTTCCTAGCAGTAAAGACATCGGACCTGGACACTCGCTATACACGAAGAATTCAGAAGACTTACCATCATAGGACTCGTCCTTCAAAATATACTTTTGTTTATATTCCTGCAGAGAGAAGAGACGAACGTTGATGGAGGAGAAGACAGCTGTGTGGCTGTGTGGCTGTGTGGGAGGGGCCGGGAGGCAGGTGGCCTCCATGACCACTGTCTGGATGTGACCCGGGGGAGTCACCCCCGTCCTCCCAGGGGTGTCAGACAGCACTGCCCCACGGTCCCTGCCCCAGAGGGCTGGCGTCCCGGGCCCCGCTTCTCTGAGTGTGGCCCCCTGACTGTTTCCCAGACCCAGGTTCCTGCTCCCCAACCCCAGGAGGGGTATAACAGTGAATGATGTCACCCAGGGCTGACATGTCCCCCGTGGACGACAGTAAGGGCAGGGACACTGTCTGTAGAAGGCTTGTGAAAAGACAGAAGTTTCTAGTCTAGGAAACCAGAGCACATACTGGACGCCAGACAGGCTGAACCCGTCGGCCACGGTACGGAGACGGCGCCCTGGGCCCGTCCTCCCAAGGAGGATGTGGGGTGTTCCAGGGGGCGCGGCTGCCTCTCTGTCCTGGGGCTCAGCCTCGGAGCAGGGATGGCAAAGGACGAGGACCGCACTCACACCAGCCCGCAGGGACCGGGACCCGCGCCCTGCCCGGCCCACACCGCCCCGGCTCCCACGGGCCTGGGCTTGAGCGTGTGATTCTGGCTGTGAGCCCTCGGAGAATCAGGCAGAAGTCACGCCTGGTCTCCCTGAAGTGACAACAGGGCACACACCCCACCGTCCTGGTCTCGGTGGCACCAGGGAGTCGCAGTCCCCTGGGACAACAGGTTGGGTTGGGGACTGGAAGGTTTGAATTCTGTGGTGCTGTTGGGTCGGCCCAGGAAGGGGGGAAGGGATTGACGACACCACACGGTGGCACCGGGCAGAGCCGTGAACTCAGAAAACGCTGGACAAGTGCAGGGCCCCGCGTACCTGCTCCAGGCGACGAAGGGAGGCCCAGCTCAGGGACCTGTGGGCATCGGGAACAGCCCGCGGCGACAGCTCTGGGGTCGTCTTGCTTCCTCTGGACATCACCATCAACTCCACTGCCTCCCCAGGGTCGTCAGAGGGCCCCGGGCAGGGCCGCGCCCCAGGAGCCAAGGCGGAGCCCCCCTCCTCCATCAGTGGTGTGGTCTCCACGCCGGGGGCTGGTGGGCCGCTCTCAGGGTCCTCGTTGGGCTGGACGCTCTCCCGTGACTAAAGGACAAAGTCATTCCTTTTGGTGACACGAGTCCACCGCACAGCCCTGCCCAAGCCGCTTTTGGGGGCAAAATACCAGGTTGTCTGATAGGTCAGCCCGGGCCGTGCAGTTTGAAAAAAAATACTGCCTGGGGTCAGGTCCCAGCTCTGTCTCCAACAGCTTGGGGGATCTCAGGACAAGACTGATGTGGACTGAATGGTGACCCCGGGAATACATGTCCCCGACCTAACCCCCGAGACCTGAGAATGAGACCTCGTTTGGAAATAGGGTCAATGCAGATGTACTTAAAGACCAGGCCCCGCCCCGGCGGGTGGCTCAGTGGTTGAGCGTCGACCCTGCACCAAGAGGTTGCTGGATTGATTCCCCATCAGGGCACATGCCCAGGTTGTGGGCCCATCCCCAGTGAGGGTTATGTAGGAGGCAGCCAATCGATGTTTTCTCTCATTGATGTTTCTTTTTGTTTTAAATCTTCACCCGAGGATATGTTTTTTCATTTTTTGTTTGGATAGAGTGGGAGGGAGAAAGAGAGAGAGAGAGAAACATTGACGTGAAAGGGACACATTGAGTGGCTGCCACCGGCACGACCAACCAGGGCCGGGGACAAACTGCAACCAAGGCATGAGCCCTTAGCGGGAACCAAACCCAGGTCTCTCCGGACCGCAGGCCGACGTTCTAACCGCTGAGATAATGGCCAGGGCTCTCATCAATGTTTCTATCTTTCTCTCCCTCTCCCTTCATCTCTCCCTAAGATCAATAAAGAAAAAATATTTTAGAAAAGTAAAAATAGTCCTGGCCAGTTTGGCGTAACAGTTGGAGTGTTGGCTGCAGTCTGGAGAGACCCGGGTTCGGTTCCCACTAGGGGCACGGACCTCGGTTGCAGTTTGTCCCCGGCCCTGGTTGGGTCGTGTGGGTGGTAGCCACTAGATGTGTCCCTTTCACGTCGATGTTTCTCTCTCTCTCTCCCTCCCACTCTATCTGAACAAAATACCAAAAAAAAAAAAAAAAAAAAGTCCTTGGGTGAGGATACAAAAAAAAAAAGTAAAAATAAACGCAAGGCCCTAATCCAATCTTACTGGTGTCCTCTATTATAGACACACACGCAGGGAGGACATGTGACCTTGAGGACAGAGGCCGGGAAGGGTGTCCTCACCCCCAGGAAGCCCACATGAATCCAGAAGCCAGCAGAACAGGGCAGAGGCGGGCACCAGACTCCCTCACAGCCTGAGAGGGGCCAGCCCTGCTGACACCTTGACCTTGACACCCAACCTCCAGGAGTGGGGGACAGTCAACATATGTGGTTTCAGCAGCCTGGTCTGTGGTGCTGATGGGTCGGCCCAGGAACGGGGGAAGGGATTGACGACACCACACGGTGGCACCGGGCAGAGCCGTGAACTCAGAAAACGCTGGACAAGTGCAGGGCCCCGCGTACCTGCTCCAGGCGACGAAGGGAGGCCCAGCTCAGGGACCTGTGGGCATCGGGAACAGCCCGCGGCGACAGCTCTGGGGTCGTCGGGCTTCCTCTGGACATCACCATCAACTCCACTGCCTCCCCAGGGTCGTCAGAGGGCCCCGGGCAGGGCCGCGCCGCAGGAGCCAAGGCGGAGCCCCCCTCCTCCATCAGTGGTGTGGTCTCCACGCCGGGGGCTGGTGGGCCGCTCTCAGGGTCCTCGTTGGGCTGGACGCTCTCCCGTGACTAAAGGACAAAGTCATTCCTTTTGGTGACACGAGTCCACCGCACAGCCCTGCCCAAGCCGCTTTTGGGGGCAAAATACCAGGTTGTCTGATAGGTCAGCCCGGGCCGTGCAGTTTGAAGAAAAATACTGCCTGGGGTCAGGTCCCAGCTCTGTCTCCAACGGCTTGGGGGATCTCAGGACAAGACTGATGTGGACTGAATGGTGACCCCGGGAATACATGTCCCCGTCCTAACCCCCGAGACCTGAGAATGGGGCCTCATTGAAGTAGGGGCTTTGCGGACGGGGCCCTCCACCCTGCGTGAAAATGGGCCGACACCCAGGGGCTCCTGGGCAGCCTCAGAAGGAGCCACTCGGAGAAACAGACCCTGGGGAGGGGCCGAGCGAGGATGGAGGCAGGGAGGGAGGCACCCACAGCCACGGCCCCAAGGATGCGGGCACCTCCAGGAGCAGCCGGGAGGGCCGGGAGGAGCACCCCAGGACCTCAGAGGAAGCCACCCCTGCCGCCACTGGGATTTGGACGTCTGCCCTCCAGATCTGGGAGGCAATAGTCCTATTTGTTTTTCCTTTATTGATTTTAGAGAGAGGAAGGGAGAGGGAGAGAGAGATGGAAACATCGATGATCCAGAACATCGACTGGCCGCCTCCTGCATGCTCCCTACTGGGGATCGGGCCACAACCTGGGCATGTGCCCTGACCGGGAATCGAACTGGCGACCTCTTGGTGCAGGGTCGACGCTGAACCACTGGCCCACGCCGGCCGGGCGGTGAGTTCCTACGTTCAGGCGTCATGTCCGGGTCTGGCCCGGCAGCCCCGGGAAAGGCGTACAAGCCTCTGCCTCTCTGAGCTGCTTCCGCTCAGGGGCCCGGACCAGCCAGATGGCTCTCTTTCCAGCACAGACATGGGGGCGCTGGGAAGGGACGCAGACGCCACCCCAAAAGCTGAGCTGCGCACGCAGGGGGCCTGAGCTGCCTTGCACCCACCCTCGGTTGTCTGCACTGCCCTCCAGGCCCGAAGCCACCACTGGGAACGTCCAGGGCTGATACTTACACGGACATGGCTGCTTGGCTCCCCCGACCTGGCTGAAAAGCAAAACGTAGAAAAGGAAATGAAAATACAGCCATGCACCACGTAATGACAGTTTGGTCAACCATAGGCGGGCCACACACCACCGTGGTCCCATCAGATTATAACGGAGCTGGGAACCCCTATCTCCTAGCGACGGGCCCTGTCAGGGCAACAATGTATCTCTGGCGAAGCCGGAGCACAGACCTCCTGCTGGGCCCTCAGAGGCGGAGCAGCACAGGGGCCCAGGGGCGCAGCCCCGGAGCCTAGGAACCACTGGGTGGCCGGTCAGGAGCCACCACACGGTCCTTTCCATCGCTGCTCTTAGTGTCCTCTCTCCAGGGGAGGCACCGGAGGGACAGCCGTGCTCCACGGGCAGCAGCCTCAGACCTCGCGCCCGCCCCGTCCGTGGCCCGCACCATGGCCCTCGTGCTGGGTTCGAGTGCGCCTCTGCTGTGGTCACACGCCGCACAAGTGCGCAGCCCAGGTGTGCAGTCGGCGCCCGCTCCAGGTGTACGCGCAGTCTGTGACGTCTGCACGCGTCACCAGACATGCTCCTCAGCATGTGCCGCCCTCACAGGGCACACGGCCATAGTGGATGGTTCTGGACGGGGGTCTGGAGGCCCCGGCCTTGCACTCACCGCAAAGAAAGTGTACTTACTTTTAAAGCAACGGACCACCTCCCGGATATGCTGCACACCTGTGAACACAGGGGAGGTGAGCATCCTCGGGGCACTCACCCCCCAGCACCCCTGCTGGAACAGCGGGGGTCTCCCTGCCTCCCGCCAAGGGCGCCCGGATGCCCGTCTGCAGCCAGCTGCGCCTGGTCAGGGGCACGCGGCCATGGCCCCGGCCCGGGCAGCAGCTCAGAGGCCCCAGCAGACAGTGAATCAGCTGCCTTTTACATGAGCAACGCCCGGCCCGGAACCTCTGGGTGCCCGTCCCCGCATCAGAGTCCTGTGGCTGTCGATCCTCTGTCCCCGGGGTAGCTCCGCCTCCTCTTTACCTTGTTTTCCACCGTAGCAGCAGATGAGGCCGATGACAATGGCGATGCCAATGGCGATGCCAATGGCGATGACGATGAAGTTGATGACAGTGCCCCAGGGGAACCCCACAAGCAGACCACTGTCAGTGGCGACTGGATTTCTGGTCAGGTTTCCTGGGAGGGGCAAACAGGGCGCTGTGGCCGGGTGCGCACGTCCCCCGCCCAAAGGACACGCTACAGAACAGAAGCGCTAGCTCGGAGCGAGACAGCCGCCCAGCTCCGGGCCCCAGCCCTCCAGGTGGGGGCAGGACGGGCTCCGCCATCCCAGCCCGAAGGGCCGCAGACCCGTCCCCGTTAGCGGGGAGAAGGCCTGGTGTCTCGGATGGGGCTTAGTGTGAGTGGTCACTGACTCCTGGGCCAGCAGGAGGTCAAGCCAGAAGGTCAGGAAGAGGGAGAGGGACTACTGTCCAGACTGCAGCATGGCCTGGCCACGGTGGCCAAGGGACAGGGCAGGGGCCACCCCAGGGGCAGTCTGCTGAGACACTGGGGAGACCTGGTCTCACCCTGCTGACCTGACATCCCCACCAGGAGCCTGGACACAGACACGGGTGCGGGGAGGTCACCAGGCCTGTGGGCGCTCGGCCACCCACGCGGGAGGGAGGAGCCCCCAGAGGCCCTTCCGCACGGCGCTCTGGTCCCTCTGACGGCTTTTCCTTCCGTCTCTCATCGGGCCTCACTCATCTCTTATGTTTTTGGCATAAAATATCCTTTCAGTGTTTCTGTCTTCTGGAATCAACGTTTAGTGGCTGCTAATCGTCACTTGAGCATAATTTTTCCTTTGATTTTTAGAGAGAGTGGAGGGGGGGGCGGAGAAACATTGACGTGAAAGGGACACACCAATTCATTGCCTCCCACACACACCCTGACCAGGGCCAGGGGATCGAACCTGCAACCCAGGTGCATGCCCTTGACCGGGAATCAAAGCCAGGACCCTCTGGGCTCGTTGCCAACACTCTGACCATCGAGCCACATTGGCCAGGGCTCCAGTCAGGGTGTTTTTTATGAAAATCAACAAGCCAATTCTGACCCGCAAAAGGACACCCCAAAGTCCAAGGGGAGCCCCGACAATGCAGAGATACACAAGGGGCAGGGCTAAGGACAGACGGAGCGTCCCAGACAGACGGGTGCTGGGTCACGACCCACTGGCCCCGAGAGCAGGAAGGGCCGTGTCCCCTACATGCGCCGGGCCGCAGTGTGGATGAGACAGCACACGGAACAGGACCGTGCTGGCACCGTGAAGCCCGGTTCCGGGGCCTGTGGCGACCGGAGAGACAGCTGCCGGCAGAGCGCGGGATCTTCCCGGGATGAGCGACGTTCCTCCCTCGGGCTCAGACAGCACCGCCAGGTGGGACAGCGTCACGGCCCGGCCCTGCTGCTACGCACGACCTCAGTCCACCAAGCCACCCCTCCACCGGTTACCAAGGCCCCTGCCCACGGGAGGGGACACGGGGAACTAAGCGCCGGCATCCTGAGTTTATACATAGTTACCAATGTTATAAATTATTACAAACTACAAGCAACCGGATAGAAATATATCACCTTATATAAAAATGGGCCTGAGCCCTGGCCGGTGTGGCCCAGTGGTCAGAGCCCAGACTTGTAGGTTGGATTCCGGTTAGAGGACACGCCCCTCGGGGTGGGCTTGACCGCAGCCCGGTGGGGTCGTGTGGGGTGAACCGATCGATGCGTCTCTCTCACGTGGATGTTTCCCTCCCCCTCCCTTTCTGCGTATCATTATATAAAACAGACGTGTCCACCATCACACTCTCGTACAGAATAGTTTCACTAAAAATCCCCGATGCCTGCTATTCATCTCGTTAAAAAAAAAGGCATGAGCCCTGGCCGCGTACTGGGGCGCACGGGAACCGAACAAAGAATGCATAAACAGCCCGGCGGTGTGACTCAGGGGCAGAGCGTCGACCCTGCACCAAGAGGTCACTGGCTCAATTCCTGGTCAGGGCAGGTGCCCAGGTTGTGGGCCCGAACCCCACAGGGGGGCATGTGGGAGGCGGCCAGTCGATGTTCTCTCTCCTCGATGTTTCTGTCTCTCCCTCTCCCTTCATCTCTCTCTAAAGGAAAAAAAAATCATAAAAGACAAAATGCATAAATAAGTGGAACAGCAAATCGGTGTTTCTCTCTCTTGCTAAAATCGATACATAAAATTTAAATTAATGGGCACCATCCTTGCCCAGACTTCACACGAGAGTCCAAATGGTCTGGGCGTCATTTCCATCCCTGGCACGGGCCCCCCTCAGGTCCCCATGTCAGTCACATGTGAGATCCCACAAGGGCCGGGACCTGGCCCAGCATCCGGGACAACGTGGCAGAGACAGAGGAAATGGGACCAGTGGGCACCAAAGGAGGGGAACCCCCCCTCCCTCCCCACTGCGACTCCTGGAAGGAGAGGCAGGACGCTCCTAGGAGCAACCCCGTCACCCAGGAGGCTGAGCCTGGCCCCCCAGAGCCCCAACGTGGGGAGCGAGGAAGGAGAGGCACAAGCAGTCCCCACGAATTTGGTGTGAACGCGGCTCTGTGGACTGCGGTGCTGGCTGACAGCCAAGCGCGCCGTCTGTCCAGCTCTCCCAGCAGCAGCGGGCAGTCCCGACAGACAGACAGCAGCACCACAGAGCGGGAAGGCCGCCCTGGGCTCGGGGCGCCACCCCAGCAGGGGGAGGTGGGATCCGCGCTCACCTGGCGCTGGGCTGGGTTCCGTGGCACAGACAGTGTCCCGTGTGGCAGTGCATGGGTGGCGGGTGGCGCCGGGACACCTGAGAGGAAGCAGTGAGGACATTGCGGGCATTACTTCCCCTTCCTGGGAGGGCCCCCAGCCAGGCCTTTCCAGGTGCTCGGGCCCCAGCGGGCTCGGTGAGCGTGAAGGTGGGGATTCTGATATGTGGGGAAGGGACACCCTCTCTGTTCCTGGAAAAGCTGTGTGTGGCTTGAGGACTGGACCTGCTGGGGCCACACCCCACTCACAGGGACGTCAGCCCGAAGGTGAAGCCGTGGAAACAGAGACAGGCAAGCACATTGAGAGAAGCAGAGCCCTGATCAAGCCTGACCTGCAGGCAGCCGTACTTTGGACTTGTCGGGTACAAAACAGACAGTTCAACATGGTCTGAGTTGTACTGAAGGGCCAGCAAGGCACCTCACAGAAGTGAGCTATTTTGCAAGTGGCTTTACCACTGTCTCCCCAGAAGGTCCCCCCAAATCCATGCCCACCGGGACCCTCAGTATGATTTTTGGAAACAGGGTCTTTGTGGGTGTAATGGCAGTAAGGTGAGGTCACACTGGAGTGGGGCAGGACTTAACCAACGACCACCGTGCTCATAAGAGGAAACCGTACGCAGAGAGGATCAGACACAGGAAGACGTGAAGGCAGAGGTGAAGGCAGAGGTCGCAGCAAGCCAAGTGCGTCTACACCCCAAGGAGCGCCGGCGCCACCCACAGCTGCGGAGGCAGGAAGGATCCTCCCCAGAGCTTTCGCAGGGGCCTGGCCCTGCCGACACCCCGAGCGTGGACTCCTGGCCCGCAGAGCTACAAGGAAAGACACTCCTGCTGTCGTTAAAGCAGCCAGTCGCGATGCTGTGACAGCAGAACTCAGGACACTCCCTCGGGGACAGTGGCCATCGGCGGTCCCGGGCAGTGCTGCCTGCTCCCCCTGCCCAGAGCGCCCCTCCTCCGGCACTGTGGCCCCAGTGCGCCCGCCCTCCCGGGCCCGGGCTCCACCTGCAGACCGCAGCGGGCTCAGCCGTGGTGGGTCTGAGCCTCGGCGGGCGAACTGAGCAGGGTCCCTAGGGCGGCCGCAGGTGGGGCAGCCAGGCCATGTGTTTGACCTAATCTTCAAGGTGCCTGCACGTGGCCGGTGCTACCATGTTGCAGATAAGGAAACTGAGGGGCAGCTCCGTACGTGACCCAGAGCCAGCGAGCACTGGGGGGACGAGCGGGGACCCCCAAAGCCGGTACCTGGTACAGGGATAGCACATCTCCGGGCAGTTCTCACTGTCACAGTAGCACTGTCCGGTCTTGCATTGGCATTGCTGGTCACTTGTCGGGGTGCAGTTCTTCACCACCTCCTGATCTGTTTGAGGGAAGGCGGGGGTCCATCACCCGGGCCGGGTCTCCGTCCCCACCCACACTGGCCCCGTCTGGAGGCTCAGTCACAGGCCCCTTCCCTTCTAACATCTACAGGTGACGAGGTAACAGCCGAACCACCCTTCCTGCTAACTGGGGTGTCTGAAGAGAGGCCAGAGGGTGACCCTGAAATCAAGGGTGACTTTGGAGAAGCTAGTGGGTAACCTCAAAATCTGGGGTGTCTGTGGAGGGGCCAGAGGGTGACCTAGCACCTAGGGAGGAAATACCCCCGAATTATTCTTTTCTTCTTCTTTGCCCCCTCAACGAAGCTCAACACCACTCTGCGCTCCACACAAGTCACCCACCAGAGAACGGGACCCAGAGAACCCCAGGCGCCTCCACAGTCACAGTGGACACCCCGCAGCCCCCCCGGCGGCCTCCGATGGTGGGCCCTGAAGCCCCCAGCTCTCAGCTTTACAGGGGGCGGGTTTTCAGATCCCTCCGCCCGGCAGCCCCCCTTCCTCTAGCACACGGAGAGAACCATGAACTGACCTGAGACAGAAACACAAGTCGGGTGGGGCTGCAGCCCCGGCCTGAGGCCCGGACCCACCCGAGCCGGCTGTCTGAGCTCCCCCTTGACCGGCCCTGCCGGGCACACGGCTCCGGGCTGGCTCTCGGCTCACCCCTGTGCTGGGTCCCGTCCCGCTGTCTCCCTGGGGCACCGAGCAGTCACATGGTGCTTCTCCCACTTCTGTGCGTGGGCACGGGCGGCTCCTGGGGCCACTGCACACTGTCCCCCGCGCGGAGCTCACCCGGAGCAGAGCCCCCCAGGTCTAGACTGGGGCCGCGATGGGGGGCGCGTTTGATCTTCCCTAACTGAGCCACGGGTTCTCAAAGTGCTGGCCCTGGTAACACTTGTCCCGTGGGCTTAGGATCCTCACTGGCCCTCGCCCCACGGCCACGAGCTTGGACGCAGGCTGCGCGGATGTCACCTCTCTCCAGCCCGCGGGGCCGTGTGCTCCGGGGTCACTGACAGGCCTTCCTCCCTGCGATGTCTGTGTCTCTCTCCCCTTGCATTTATTATCATTATCATTATCATTATTATCATTATTATCATTATTTATCCTTGGGTGAGGACATTTTTTGTTTTTTTGTTCAGATAGAATGGGAGGGAGAGAGAGGAAGAGAAAAAGAGAGAAACATCGACGTGAAAGGGACACATCGAGTGGCTGTCACCCGCACGACCCAACCAGGGCCGGGGACAAACTGCAACCGAGGTACGTGCCCTTAGCGGGAACCGAACCCAGGTCTCTCTGGAACGCAGGCTGACGTTCTCACCACTGAGCCAAACTGGCCGGGGCTCCCCTTGCATTTTAAAAAACCTTCTTAGTGCCGTTTTTTTTGTTGTTTGTTCATTTTTTAAGAAAAAAAATTTAAGTTTTTTTCTTTATTGATTTTTTTACAGAGAGAGGAAGGGAGAGGGAGAGAGACAGAAACATCGATGAGAGAGAACATCCATTGGCCGCCTCCTGCACGCCCCCCCTGGGGATCTGGCCCACAACCTGGGCATGTGTCCTGACAGGAATCGAACCAGTGACCTCTTGGTGCAGGGTCGACGCTCCACCCCTGAGCCGCAGCGGCGGGGTGTCAGTGCTGTCTTATAGGCGCCCCTGCGTGTCCTTGACCACGTTGTGTGTGTGGCTGTGTCTTAGCCATTCCCTCCGCTGCGTGGCTTCACTTGTGACACTTGGTGAACTCGCGTCTGTGAGCGCACCCCAGCATCCGCCGCCCCCTCACCTGGCGCGATCGCCTTTGGGGTGACTCCTACAAGCCAGGTCCAGGGGGGCCGCGTTGAAACCCGAGAACAACCCCCCCCCCTGCTGCAGCCCACTTACCGTCCCTGCATTTGGCACAGGTCTGGCACTGGGTCTTGCGGTTGTCATGAGCCATGAAGGTGCCGGGCGGGCACGGACTGCACCGTGTGGCCTGGCTCTCGGTACAGTCGGCACTGACATGGTGGCCTGTGGGAGGATGGGACAGAGGGGAGGAGGGGCCCAGGGCACAGACTCGCCCTGGTCCCTGAGGCCTCTGCGGGAGGAGGTCCCCCAACACCTGGTGGCCAGTCCCATGCGCAGTACCAACCCCTGCCTCCTGGGAACGTTCTGGACTGATGCCAGGCTACGTGTCCCAACCTGGGACCTGACTCACTCTCGGCTTTTACAGAAACCCTGCACCTCCGGAAGGAGGGGTGTAGAGTGGGCACTGGAGCCCCCCTGAGACCCTGCAGATGCTGGGGATTCCACCCCACGCGGACCTCCGGCCCGCACACACGGGGGCACAGGTGCCCGCCCGGCCCAGCGCCTGACCGTGCGAGGGCCGCTCGCCGCCAGAGCAACGGGCCTGCACACCCGCCCAGCACGCAGACCGCCTGTCGGACCGGTGGCGCCTGGGTTCCTGAACGTGCTACTTCAGGGCTTGTGCGGCGTGCACGCCCCGGAGTGTGCAGGAGGAGATGTGTGCAGTGTGTGTGCCGGTGTGTGTGCAGCGTGAGAGAGCCGGGGCCCCGGGAAGGTTCAGGCTCTGAAAGGCGGCATGTGCGTGGGGGTCAGACTTGATGGGAGCAGGTGTGCGGTTGGCCCATCAGAGTATAGAGCCCTGAAGGCAGGGCTCCCTGAAGACCTGTGCACACCTGCCCGTGTGTGGGTGGTGCACGTGGGGACAGTGGCCTTGGCCAAGCTGCACAGCTGGCCCAGCTGCCTGGCACGGACTGGCCATGCGGGGCCTGCAGCACGGGGGCAGAGCAGGCTGTGGAACCCTGGCTCCCGGCTGGTTTATGGGCCGATGCGAACCATCTGAACAAGGGAGTGAGCCTCGGTGGCTCTGCTGGGCATGCGGGCGGTGCCCGCCCCCCCCAGGAGTTCCCACCCTCAGGTGTCTGTCACGACTACCCGGACAGGAGTGGGTCAATGAGGGCATCTGGCCTGGGGACGTACCCCACTTCCACCCACCAAGCCCTGCTGAGTAAGGACACAAACCCCTTGTTCACAGAGCCCCAGGGCGGTGCAGAGGACAGGAGGGGTGGGCAGTGGGCCGAGGTAACTGCGGAAGAGAGGCCCACCCACCAGGCTCCGCCCTCCCCGTGTGGCCTGCAGCTCTGATCAAGGAGCTGGGCACCCCACCCCCTGGTCAGCTCTGCTGAAGGCTCAGGAACATGTCCTGACACTCACCAGGTGGGCAGAGGTCACAGCAGAGACGCCCCAACGCGTACTTATTTCCATCACACTTGGTCACCGGGGTTGTCACAACCTGCAATCGGAAAGGAGACGGGCTTTACCCAGAGAGGCCTCTGCTCCGGACGGGTATGCGTGTCCTCCGCAGGGACGGTGCTCCGTACAGCCCTGGGCCCCTCGCTGGGTGCGCTCTGCGGGGGCAGCTTGGGAACATTCTCAGAGCGCGGTGCCTTGGACGTGCTACATGGGGTGAGTGTTCCGTGGGGGCATTTTCTTCTCTGCCCCGTGGTCTGCATGGATGTCACATCTGCCTGCAGGGTCGGAACCAGCACCCGCCCGCCGTGGCCGGGACCAGGCCCTGAGTCCTTTGCTCCGGAACGCAGTTCATCTCCCAGCAGCCGCCCTGCCCTCCGCCCTGCGGTGTCTTCCCGTCCGAATGCAGCCCCGCCGCCCTTGCGGGACGGTGCCCGCCAGCCCTGCCGCGGCTTTCTTTCCCCACCGGGGCTGCTCCCTCAGGCCCGCGTCTCTCCTCTCGGGCCTGGCTCTTAGAAACCGCCCCCGGCTAGACAGTCCCTCCACCTGCAGCCTGATGACCGTACGGCGTGGCCCCGGCCGCGCACGGCCGCCCTGGGCCGACTCATCGCCCCCCTTTTCTCTGTTGCTGCTTCGTCTCGATCATACTTTCCCTTCGATCCGTCTTTTCCTTCTCGTCCGGCTCTTGTTGTCCTGACTCCGTTTCCCCAGATCCCTTCCCCCGTCACTGCAAACCCCTGGGCACAGCGTTCCTGGTTCACGGCGCCTGGGACAACGTAGGGCCGCGCACCCGAGAGCCCAGTAGCTGGGTTTCAAGAAGAAAACCGTCTGCAAACAGCACAGGAGGAAGGGTCTCAGGTAAGAACCAACGTCCCTGACCCTGTAGGGCACCTGGGGAGCTGGGGGGGGACCTCACGGTGGGGAATCCTCGAGCACCACCCGAGCGGTCATCAAAGTGCACACACCCGGGGCGGACACGCAGCCTCCCGAGCTGTCTCCTGAGGGCGCAGTGAGAATGGCCCCCCGCTGGGGCGTGTGGGCCAAAACGCCCTCCTGGCATTTATTCTAAGAAACCACCGACCGTCCAAGTGGCAAGTCTGTTAAATCACTCGTCACATGTCAGCCGCGGTCTGGTTGAGGAGGAAAAGAAAGCCTGGGCAGAGGTTCGGACCTCAGGACCGTGCCAAGGTCACAGCTGCCAAGACAGGAAGCAGCCTAGGGACCAACCCGAGGTTCCCAGAGAAGATGTCGCCCTGAGTCATCTGCGGGGAGCGAGGGAAGGGTGGGCTGGTTTCCTTTATTGTTTGTTTCCTGGAAGGCATTGTTTCATCGGGCTCACAGTCACATCACGCAAAGGCGACCACCAGAAAGGCTACGGAGCCATGTGTAGGTTCTCCCTGCCCTGATCACTCCCACAGTTTCCACAGGAACTTTCTCAGTCTGAGGTTCTTGCAACACGGACCTTTAAACATGAGAAACCTTCAAACAGGAAAAATCTCAGTCCCCTTAAGAACAGGAACAAGGCAAGGATGCCCACTTTCACCACTCTTATTTAACATAGTTCTGGACGTCTTAGCCCAGCAATCAGACAGGAGGAAAAAATAACAGGGATCCAAACGGGAAAGGAGGAAGTGAAACTGTCATTATTCGCAGATGGCTTGATACTATATGTTGAAAACCCCAAGACTCCATCAAAAATTTACTAGACTTAATAAATGAATTTGGCCAAGTAGCAGGATTCAAAGTTAACATCAAGAAATCGACGGCACTCTCACACAGCAATGATGAATTCACAGAAAGAGAAACGAAAAAAAGAATCCCATTTACCATCACGGCAAAAACATTAAGATACCTAGGAATAAACTTAACCGAAGAAATAAAGAACCTATTCACAGAAAACTAAAGGTCATTGAAAAAAGAAATAGAGGAAGATGTTAAAAAGTGGAACCACATACCTTGTTCATGGATTGGAAGAATCAACATCATTAAAATGTCCATACTACCCAAAGCGATCTATAGTTTCCATGCAATCCCCATCAAAATACCAACAACATACTTCACAGAACTAGAACAAATACCTCAAAAGTTCATATGGAACCAAAAAAGACCTCGAATAGCCACAGCAATCTTGAAAAACAAGAACAAAGTTGGAGGGATCACATTATCAGATTTCAGGTTATACTACAAAGCCACTGTAATCAAATCAGCCTGGTACTGGCACAAGAACAGGCATATAGACCAGTGGAACGGAACCCAGAACCCAGAAATGAACCCAAGGCAATATGTTCAGTTAATATTTGACAAAGGTGGCAAGAGCATACAGTGGAGTAAAGACAGCCTCTTTAATAAATGGTGTTGGGAAAATTGGACAGCTACATGCAGAAAAAATGAAACTAGACCATCAACTTACACCATACACAAGAATAACCTCAAAATGGATAAAAGACTTAAATGTGACTCTTGAATCCATAGAAATCCTAGAAGAAAATGTAGGCAACAAAATTTCAGACATTATACACAGCAGAATTTTCACTGATACATCACCTAAGGCAACAGAAACAAAGAAGAAAATGAACACATGGGACTACATCAAACTCAAAAGCTTCTACACAGCAAAAGAAACAGCCATCAAAACGAAAAGGCAACCCACTCTATGGGAGAACATCATTGCCAATGATACATCAGATAAGTGGTTAATTTCCAAAATTATATATAGAGTACTCATACAACTCAACAAAAGGAAGACAAAGAACCCAATAAAAAAATGGGCAGAGGAGCTGAATAGACACCTCTCCAAACAGGACATACAAATGGCCAAGAGACATATGAAGAAATGCTGAACATCACTAATCATCAGAGAGATGCAAATTAAAACAACAATGAGGTATCACCTCACACCTGTCAGAATGGCCGCCATCAACAAATCATCAAACAACAAGTGCTGGCGAGGGTGTGGAGAAAAGGGGACCCTAGTACACTGCTGGTGGGAATGCAGACTGGTGCAGCCACTATGGAAAACAATATGGTGTTACCTCAAAAAATTAAAAATTGAACTTCCATTTGACCCAGTGATCCCACTGCTAGGAATGAATATACCCTAAGAAGCCTGAAACACCGATCGGAAAAAATATATGTACCCCCATGTTTGTAGCAGCACTATTTACAATAGCTAAGATCTGGAAACAGCCCAAGTGTCCATCAGTAGACGAATGGATAAAAAAACTGTGGTACATATACACAATCGAGTACTATGCAGCTGTAAGAAAGAAAGATCTCTTATCCTTTGAGACGACATGGAGGGACCTGAAAACTATCTTCCTGAGTGAAACAATCCAAACAGAAAGACAAGTATCATATGATCTCAGTTATTTGTGGAATATAATGAACATAACAATCTGAGGAATGGGGTAGTCCCAGAGACGTTGAAATGGGGTGCAGGCTGACAATCCCCTGAAGAGGGGATGGGGGGAGGTAGGGGAGGTAAACTACAGAACTTATATGCGTGTGTGCATGAACAATGGACATGGACAACAAAGGTGGGGACAGGGAGGGGAAGGTGGGGACAGGGAGGGGATATCAGTGGAGGCAAGAGGAGAAATATCTGTAACAAAAATAAATAAATTAATTTAAAAAAATTGAGATCCAATTAGAAAGTGTTGCTTATCCTTCCATTATTCTTAATGAATTCTGTCTAAAGATAGAATCTTGACGTTGAACTTTATAACATGGAGCAAAAAAATGTACTTTGAATTAAAGGGGACCTTAGAAAATAATTTTGTTCTATCCTTTTATTTAACCAGAGGTAAAAACAGTAATTGGTGGGGAAAAAAAAAAAAGAATCTCAGCCCAGAGAAAGACAGCTTTTCTGCCAGGCAGGGGCAGATCAAGGGGGCGCTAGGACCCTGGGCACTCTGGGCTGGCCCCTCCACCCCCTCCAAGGAGGACGGAGCCCCAACCCGCTGGCTCCAGGGCCCTCCCCCTGCCCCGCCCCCAGGAGGTGTCACTGTGTCAGTCACATCCAGCCCTGCCCATTCTCTCAGCTTTTCTCCCGCTTTGATTTCATTTTATGTTAAAATGTTTTTTTTTATTTTGGGGAGAGAGCGAGAGAAACATCCATGAGTCACCCGCGCCAGGCTCTCCTGCTTTTGGGGAGGCTCCCGCTCCAACTCCTCCCCCTGAAGGAAGGTGAGTGTCGAGGGACACAGCTTCTCCCAGCTCCGTGGCTGTTGGCGCCCTGGCACCCCAGGACCGACCCCATTCCAGCAGAGAGTCCCAGGTTCCGACCCGCTAAGGGCACGTATCTCTTTGCAGTTTTTCCCGTCCTGGTTGGGTTGTGGGGGAGGCAGGCACTCAATGTGTCCCTTTCCCATGGATGTTTCTCTCTCTCTCCCCCCCCCCTCCCTTCCTCTGTATCTGAAAAATGGAAAAATGTCCTCCAGTAAGGATTAAAAAAAAAAAAAAATCTCTCCCTCTTGCTGAAGATGTGGGTTTCTGGGTTTCTGGATTCTGTGGCTTGGGGGAGACCCCATCCCCACCCTGGGAGGACCCACGACTGCACCAGATGTGCGCAGAACTAGCCTGGCTGCTCCTTCCGGGCGCCCCGCTGCAGGGTACGGTGGAAAGCAAGGACCTGCTAGGAAGTCGGCGGAAGTGGGGGTGCGGGGAGGAGGAGGGCGGCGAGGAGGCGGGGCCAGGAAGAAAAGGCCGGGGTGAGAGGGCCTAGACCCCGGAGGTAAGGCCTGGAACTTAGCTAAATGTCCAGCTACCCTAAAAAACTTGGGGCACCACCGCAGGCTCACGCCCTGTCTGCGTGTCGCCCATCAGGGTGCGCGCACCCCGCGGTAGGGCGCACGGGCAGCTGCAGCGCCGGCGCAAAGCCGACCCGGCGGGGCCTGGGCAGACAGGAGGGGTCAGGGCCCGGCGCCTGGTGCCAGTCCCGGAGGCCTCCCGCGCTCGCACCCAACTCCCCGCGCCCCGGCCTCTCCCTGGGCAGACAGGACCGAAGAGGGGTCAGGGCCCGGCGCCTGGTGCCAGTCCCGGAGGCCTGCAGCGATCCCGCCCAACTCCTGGCGCCCCGGCCTCTCCCTGGGCAGACAGGACCGAAGAGGGGTCAGGGCCCGGCGCCTGGTGCCAGTCCCGGAGGCCTCCCGCGCTCGCGCCCAACTTCCCGCGCCCCGGCCTCTCCCTGGGCAGACAGGACCGAAGAGGGGTCAGGGCCCGGCGCCTGGTGCCAGTCCCGGAGGCCCACAGCGCTCGCGCCCAGCTCCCGGCGCCCCGGCCTCTCCCTGGGCAGACAGGACCGAAGAGGGGTCAGGGCCCGGCGCCTGGTGCCAGTCCCGGAGGCCTGCAGCGATCCCGCCCAACTCCTGGCGGCCTCCGGGAAAATGCCGGGGCGATTCCAGGCCTGCGTGAGCGGGGCAGGGGCGGACGCCCCCAGGAACCCCGGCTCCGGTCGCTCCGGCGTCCCCGCATTGTCCCCAGACAGCTCCGGCGGGGGAGTAGGCGAGGGTGACATTCCCGGCCGGACCGTTACGCATCGGTCCTCCGGGCTCCCTCGCCCCGGGCACCATCCTTACCTGGGCCGGGAGCAGCAGCAGCAGCACCCACAGCATGGCTCCCGCGGAATGAATGGACGCGGCCCCAACCCGGGAGAGCCGACTGCGGTGGAACTGGCGTCTGATCAGCTGATTGGTGGCTGTTTCTGTGATTCGGTGACTTCCACAAGTGACAAGAAATTATGTAAATGAGTTGTCCTCCAGCGGGTGGGTGGATTGAACCTCCGCCCCTGACCTGGGACGTCCCTCTGGACTTCCAGTCAGGGTGCAAACCCTGGTTGCGGGCTAAATCCCCCACATGGGGGTCATTCAGGTGACAACCCGTGAATTTATCTCTCTCATCCATGTTTCTGTCTCTCTCTCTCTGGAAAATCAATAAAAACATATTTTAAAAAATTGTCCGTGCTCTGGCCTGTTCGGTTCAGCGATTAGAGTGGTGGGATCCATTCCGGTCAAGGTCAAGAGCAGGTGCATGGGTTACAGGTTCCATCCCAGCCCTAGTCGGGGTCCTTCCTAAAGCAACCAACTGAAGTCTTTCTGTCTCTCTCCCTCTTCCTCCCTCCTCCTCTATCTAAAAATCAATGGAAAAATATCCTAGGGTGAGGGTTAACAAAAAGAAAGGAAAGAAAATTGTCCCTATACTCGAAAGTGACAAGGCAGGCCACCAGGAGGGACCCTGCATATGTTCATTTTTAAGTAGGGTCTTTAGATTCTTTTTTATTATTGATTTTTAACAACCAGCATCTGCCCCACCCTCTGGAGATCCTCTTACACTGAACCCCTGAGGGAGTTTTTCATGCATTTGAGGGCTACAACCCAAGGCTCCTCAAGTAACTGAGACTAATAGCCTGCAGGCAAAAAGCTAGAGGCTACCTGAACCTTTCCTGGGCTTGCAAATCTACCCAGGAAAGCAAAACTTGCCAGTGGCGTTCAATGTGGGTCCTCCCACACTCACCCAAACCAGCAGAGGGAGCCACAAACAGAACAGCAACTCCCACAGGAAAAATTGGGCAGGCTCCAAACCCACTGACATAGCCAAAGTGGTGAAACCAATGGACCCGCCAATAGTGTGGGGAAGGCAGGAAGGGGCTGGATTGGGGAGGAGGGGGTCAATGGGGAAAAAGGGGGGACATATGTAAATGATTCTGCATTCCTGGGGGTCCCTGTGCCCCGCTGGACAGCCGCAGGTTTGTCTGCCCACAGATGCACCCGTGAGTTAGTGGAGTGGCAGACAGGGTCCAGGTTCACCCCACCCTGCCCCTCCAGGTTCCCACAGGACCCCCAGTGAGGGCTAAGCCTCAGGTCCTTGTTGGGCACCATGGACTCCCCATGTGCCCCCTGCTGGCCCTGCCGGGCCATCTGGTTGAGGAATCCATCCCCACGCCCATCTGTGTTTCTGCAGCCCCCACGCCCTGCCCAGGCCGTGCTCTCCCCGTCCAGAGAAAGCAGTTCCCCTTTCTCCTGGAAGACCCCACCCCACGGTCCCCAGCTCTGCCAAGGCTTGTCAGTTCATCTGCAACAGAGACCCCAATTTGGGGTGCGGTGAGGGAGGAGCCTTTATTTTGTGCAAACAGCTCAGAGGGACTCAGCAAGGCCGAGGACCGGGCACCCCGTCAGGGCAGAGGAGGGACAGAGCAGGGGCCGTGTGACGACCGGGGCAGAGACAGGAGCCTGTCCATCGGCCCAGGGTGCCCGCGGCCATCTGAAGCCTGAGGAAGAATCAGGCCTGGGGCCCCGGAGGGGGTGCAGCTCTGAAACACCTTGACCTTGGACTCCTGGCCCCGCTGTGGTAGAGTGGCTGTCTGCAGTCACCGTGGACAGGACCCCAGGAAGGCAGCACCCTCCCTCGGCCCCCAGCCCCCACGCGGACGCTCCGGAGTTCTGCTGGGTGACGCCAGCGACCCCTGCTGTGGGAAGAGGCCAAGTGATCGCTGGTCCGGCTGGTCCAGGCTGGCCCTGCTGCTCCCCCGTGGTGGGCTGGGCCAGCACAGGGGCCTCTCTATACTCAGGGTCCTCATGGGACTCGGGGCGCAGTCCCCCGAAGGGGTTGCTCCGATGACTAACAGGACACTAGAACCCTGGCTGTTTAGCACAGCGGTCCAAGCATCAGCCTGCAGACTGAAGTGTCACGGGTTCGATTCCTGTCAAGGGCACGTACCTGGGCTGCAGGTTCGTCCCCGGGTACAGCTGGGGTCTTGCAGGAGGCAACCAATCGATGTGTCTCTCTCAGCTCCATGTTTCTCTTTCTCTCCTTCCCTTTCACTTTATTTCAAATCATCGGGGAAAAAAAGAGTTTTCTGCGCTTGGGGATGGTGGAGGGAGAGGTAAACGGAGATTTCATTTTCCAGAGGGAAAGCCCTTCAGACTGAGCTGTGGTTCCCCAGCACCCCACAGGGCTGTGCCGGTCCAGCATCGCCCCCTGCAGGTGGTTCCGGAGAGCCACCTGGGAGAAGGGAGTGGAGTGTCCCTTCATTCCTGTCAGCGTGGTCCCCTGTCTTCCAGCAGGGAAGGAAGGAACCACCAGAGCTCGGCAGAGGAAACAGCCTCTCAACAGAAGAAAACCGTCTGGGATTTCAAGGTAATTTGAAACACATGGACAGTGAACTTGAAGAAAGTTCCTATTTGAAAAATACCATTGCCCTGGCCGGTCTGGCTCAGCGGTTAGAGCGTCGGCCCGTGGACCAGCGAGTCCCGGGTTCGGTTTCCGCCAAGGGCATGCGCCTTGGTTGTGGCTTGTCCCTGGCCCTGGTTGGGGTCGTGTGGGTGGCAGCTGGTTGCTGTGTCCCTCTCATGTCGATGTTTCCTACTCTCTGTCTTCCTCTCTCCCTCCCACTCTATCTCATCAAAAAATGGAAAAATGTCCTTGGGTGAGGATTAAAAAAAACAAGTATCAGTGCAGGTGACTCTAAATCACTCGGTACAGCCCTGGCCGGTTTGGCTCAGCGGTTGGAGTGTCCGCCTGCGGTCCTGAGAGACCCGGGTTCGGTTCCCGCTAAGGGCATGTACCTCGGTTGCAGTTTGTCCCCGGCCCTGGTTGGTCGTGCGGGTGGCAACCACTCGATGTGTCCCTTTCACATCGATGCTTCCCTCTCTCTCTCTTCCTCTCTCCCCCTCCCACTCTATCTGTACAAAAAAAAAGGTAAAATGTCCTCGGGTGAGGATAAAAAAAAAAAAAATCACCTGGTACAGGGTCTTGCAGTGATCTCCAGAAGGACTTTACGAGAATCTTCCCCAGAAAGGATTAAATGAGGAAAAGGCAAAGTAGGGGAAGCTGATTCAGGAAAGACCTTCTCGGGAGGCTGAAATGAGTAAGAGTGGAACAGAGCTAAGGGCTCCTCATGAGTTGCATCAGCTCTGAGGACAGGGCGCAGCCCGGCTCAGCTGACACACCCCTAGGGTTAGAGGAGAAATTACTGCGCTGTAACAGAAACAAAGAATGTATGGGTGTCGAATTCATAACTTTTTCTCCAGAACATCTTTGAGAACGACCACGTATGATATACATTTTAAAGGGAGCATTCAAACCATTAGGGCTTAAAGAAAGGTGTCTTAATGAACATCAATGTAGGGCACGCGATCAGATAAATACATAAGTTCTGAAAGGAAACTGGAATGTTTTGGAAACATTTGCCAAAGAAAATTTGACGTTTAAAGAAATGGGGAAAAAATTTTAAATCGTTTAAAAAAATGATTTGGGCAGTTCTGGAAGTCAGTTATATATTGTTTTGTGTATTATAAAAATAAGTTATATTTCAAATTTAAGAGAGCCCTCGGGGGAGGAGCGAAACGACGGCACCTACAACACACATGCGACGGCCATGTCACCCATCCTCAGGGTCAGACACTGCGGTCGGCCTGGTTCAGAGGGGCAGGCGGTGGTGGCGGGGTGGGGCCCAGCCCTTCCCCTGCTGCAGGCTGCGGGCCCTGCACACCCGCTGGGCTCTCTGGGGTCCGGGGGAGCATCGGGGTCTCACAGGGCACATCCAAGCTGACGTCTCGGTTCCGGGGGCCCGGAGAGTCCGCACCCGGGTTCTCGTGCAATGACCTGAAGGGTGCTGAGCCTTCCGGCCTCGAACACAGAAGGAAATGTCTTGAGTGGGGGATTCAGCACCCTGCTGCTGGCTCGGCTGGCCTCCGTCAAGGCACCTCGAGGCCTGTGGCTGCCTCGGTTTCCTCAATGTGAATAGAACCGTACCGATTTGAAGGTCCTCCGGCTCTGGCCCTCGGCTCCTGTCTGGCTGATACCCAGCAGCGTCCTGGGGCTGACATGGCCCTCCTAATGTGGGGCTCTCTGACCCTGGACGGGAGGCTGGGCTGGGACGGGCACCGTGGTCGTAGAGGACAAGAGGGGCATGTCCCCTGGCCGGCACTCACCACGCTTTCTTGTCCGTCACAGTCACCTGTGAAGACAGCACGCTGTGGTTAAGGGCAGGGTGCAGGAGGGTCCCCTCTGAGATAGGAGGGCCGGGCCAGGGAAGCTGCAGGTGGCCTGGTGTGCCTCGTGTCCCCCAGCTGTGTGGTTCCCCAACTTCTGCAACCTGCCAAAAGGCCTGCGGCTGTGCCCAGCGACAGGTGACACAGCATCACCCTGGGTCTTCCCCATGGACCTGCTGGACCCCCTTCCCTGGCTCAGGTCCGCCTCGGAGCTGGAGCTGGGACCCCCTCGGTGATGCAGGAGGGACCCCGCAGCTAGCCAGGCTGGTCTCGGCCCTGAGGCAGGGGCTCAGTGCTCACCCTCCGGCCACCCGTGGGGTGGGCGAAGCCGCAGCTGGTGACAGCCAGGATCTACGAGCAAAGGTCCGGCCCTGCCGTAGTCAGGTGTCCCCAGAACCTTCCCTGGGACCTAGGCCTCACTCCCAGGCAATGGCTCTAACTCAAAGTACACACCTTGAAGAGAATGATACACAGTCTCGTCTTCTCTGTCTTTTGATTTGCTGAAGCAGAAAAAGATGATGGCAACAGTCACAGAAAACAGACAGCCTCCGAGGACAAGGAAGTGGTGCCTGCCGTGCAAACCTGGGAGGGACAGGACGTGTCGGCAAGCGCGGCCTTTCCCCCGCAGCCCCGTGACCGAGTGCAGACAGGCCCGGCGAGGCCACCCCGGGGAGACACCCGAAGGAAACGCAAACACAAGCTTGAGGGGATGTCTGCACCCCGTGTTCGCAAGGGCCAAGGTATGGAAACAACCTAAGTGTCCGTGGACGGATGCACGGATAGGGAAGCTGCGTGTCTGAACACACACGTGCACGTGGGAATACTATTTACCCATAATTTTTTCCTTTATTGTTTTTTAGAGAGAGAAGAAGGGAGAGGAAGAGAAACACTGATGTGAAAGGGACACATCGAGTGGCTGCCACCCACACGACCCCAACCAGGGCTGGGGACAAACTGCAACCGAGGTACGTGCCCTTAGCGGGAACCGAACCCAGGTCTCTCAGGACCGCAGGCCGACGCTGTAACCACTGAGCCAAACGGCCAGGGCGAATCCTGCCATTTGTAAGAGCATGATGGACCCGCAGACTTCATGCCCGCTCAGTGAGGTAAGTCAGAGAGGGACAGACAAGTCCTGTGTGATCTCATTTCAGGGGGGGCTCCAGAACCCACACACACACACGTACAAGAGCTCAGACCAGTGGTGCCGGGAGGCTGGAGGAGGGGACAGATGGTACAAATGCGGTGGAAGACCCGGATGTGCCGCATGGCGACCATGGTCAATGCTGTAGTGTGTGTACTGGGTCTTGTGTTGCACGTGGAGCGGGAGTGTGCACTGCTAAGAGGGTCAACCCTAAGAGCTCTCCCAACGACAAGAGCATCTTTTTCTTCTTCAATTGTGTCCTTAGGAGGTGCTGGATGCCCACGGACTGCAGTGACCACTTCACAGGCTATACGGTCACGTCATCCTGCAGCTCAGCCCACACTTCCATAGGGCGGGGCAGCGAGCTTATCTCAAGACAACGGGGGAAGAGGGCAGACAGGCATGGCCACTCAAGGGCACAGCGGTCGTGGCCAACCTGGCAGAGGGCAGACTCCCCTCAGCCGCGCAGCCTCACCGGGGCTGGGCTCCGCATGTGGCAGGTCTCACACGGCCTGAGGGTTCACGGACTGTGTGGGTGTTTCAGAAAGTGACCCTCCAATGTCCACCCTGAAGGGACGTCCGGCGTCAGGCTATGTCTCAGGTGACCACCGAGACCCGAGTCGGATGTCACAGAAGTTTCCTCTAGGGCTCCCTAGGTTTAGTTCTTACAGTTAGGGCTTTGGCTCGTTGTGAGTTGATTTTATGTCAGGTGTAAGGTAAGGGGCCACTCTGCGGCCTGGGGGTGTCCAGTCTCCCCAAAACACCATATGTGGAAAAACTGTCCTTTCTGTAAACGGTTTTGGCTCCAGGGTTTATTTGTTTAAAACAACGTGCCTAGCCCTGGCCGGTTTGGCTCAGCGGTTGGAGCATCGGCCTGCGGTCCCGAGAAACCCAGGTTCCGTCCTAAGGGCATGTACCTGGGTTGCAGTTTGTCCCCGGCCCTGGTTGGGTCATGAGGGTGGCAGCCACTCGATGTGTCCCTTTCCCGTCGGTTTCTCTCTCCTTCCTCTCTTTCCCTTCCACTCTATCTGAACAAAAAAATGTAAAAATGTCCTCGGGTGAGGATAAAAACAAAAACAAAAACAAAAACAAACCCATGCCTAGCCCGGCCGGTGTTCTCAATGGTTAGCACCAACCCATGCACCAAGAAGTAGCCGGTTCGATTCCCAGTCAGGGCAACGCCCAGGTTGTGGGCCCCGTCCCCAGGGTGGGGCATGCAGGAGGCGGCCCATCGATGCTTCTATTTCTGTCTCCCCCTCTCCCTCCTTCTCTCTACAATCAATACAAGGAAAAAATAACTGAACACGTGCCTGCGCCTCTGGCAGCTGGACGGCGAACAGGGGGTGCGCCTGAGCGTCGCTCGGCCACGGAAAGCCGCGCAGCTCTGCCCCCGCCCGCGAGCGAGGTCCCAGCCACGCACCGGCCCAGCCAGCACGGGCCGCGGGCCGCACGGTTCCGTGTGCACGGCAGGCGCAGGACAGGAAATCACCCCCGACCGCAAGCCGGGTCAGGGCTGAGGGCGGGGCACGGGGAGCTGCTGGGTGAAGGCTGAGGGTCTGTTCGGAGCCGGAGGTGGTGGAGCTCAGAGCCACTCAGCTGTTCTCCGTGAACAGGCTCATTTTCTTCTTTAAAATTTTTATTATTTATTTATTTATTTTATCCTCACCAAAGAACATTTTTCCATGTTTTGTTCAGATAGAGTGGGAGGGTGAGAGAGAGAGGGAGAAACATCGACGTGAAAGGGACACATCAAGTGGCTGCCACCCGCATGACCCAACCAGGGCCGGGGACAAACTGCAACCGAGGTACATGCCCTTAGCGGGAACCGAACCCGGTCTCTCAGGACCACAGGCCGACGCTCTAACCGCTGAGCCAAACTGGCCAGGGCGCAAAAGCTCATTTTCTATCACATGGTTTCATCTGCATAAAATACGTATTAGAGCCCTGGCCGGTTTGGCTCAGCGGTTAGAACATCGGCCCGCGGACCAAAGAGTCCTGGGTTCGATTCCGGGCAACGGCTTGTACCTCACTGGCGGTTCATCCCCAGCGCTGGTTGGGTCGTGCGGGAGGCACCAGTCGATCTCTCTCTCTCACACCGATGTTTCCCTCTCTCCACCCCCGTGTGCCTCCCTCCCACTCTTTCTTTTTTTTTTTTTTTTTTTTTTTAATCCTCATCCGAGGACATTTTTCCATTTTTTGTACAGACAGAGTGGGAGGGAGAGAGAGGAAGAGAGAGAGAGGGAAACATCGATGTGAAAGGGACACATCGAGTGGCTGCCACCCGCACGACCAACCAGGGCCGGGGACAAACTGCAACCGAGGTACATGCCCTTAGCGGGAACCGAACCCGGGTCTCTCCGGACCACAGGCGGACGCTCTAACCGCTGAGCCAAACCGGCCAGGGCCCTCCCACTCTTTCTGAAGATAAACAGAGAAGTGTCTTAGGGTGAGGACTGAAAACAACGATGATGCAGGTGCCCTGACAACACACGAGAAGCAACGACACCAGCCCCTTACCTGGACCGGGCAGGCCGCACACCGTGTCTGCTGTGGCATTGCACGTCCGCAGGACGACCTTCCCTTGGGGACACCTGGGGAGGGAGATGCCCTCACTATTCCCGTTCCACTCTGCCCAGGCCCCCGGCACAGGGGTGGCGTTGGCACCACCAGGTGGGCTCTGGGCTGGCTCCAGAGGGAGCTTCCCCATCCCACTCACGGGGGCGCCGTGTGCCGTGCCCAGACACCCCACAAGGGGCCCGGGGACAGGGAGAGCCCCAGCTCTCACCCGGCACCACGCGTCCCCCACACCCTCCTAGCGGACAGGGATGGACCCCCCCCAGGACGCCTCAAGCCCTCGTGTGTAGGCCCGTGGCCAGAGGGAAGGGACCGTCCAGCTGTGAACGCAGCTCAGCAATGAGGTACCCTTCCTAAGTGTTGCAAATGAGGGGCTTTCTGATGCCACAGGTAGGTTTGCTCAGACCCGGGACGAGCGGGTCACCTGGCAGCGACCTCAGTGCTCACAGCTCTCCGCACACGGAAGGACGACCTGTAGGGACGTCTGAGTCCCCAGCCCACGCTTGCGGCCCTCAACGGTTCCCCACCTCCTTTCTGAGGGCATGAGGCTTGTTCCCAGACGCCAAACTCGGTCACGAGGGAAAAGCCACTGAGCACCTCCAGGTTGGACACCCTATGGGATCCGGAAGCCCGCCCAGCCTGCCACGTTGCTCTCTTTGGACTGAACCCAGCCTTGGAGGAGGCCGGACACGAAGGTGCTGTCGTGCCCTTGGTGTGAGGCATTGGGCAGCTGGTCAGGAACTCGGGTGCCAGAGGACATGGTGAGATGCCCCCAGAATTCTACACACAGACGATCAGTTGTCGAGAGGGAAGGACAGAGCGTCTGTAAAAGCCAAGGACCCGAAGTCCAGTTCGTCCCTCATCCTTTCCCGGGATGTGACATCCGGACCCCCTCCAGCACAACAGAGAGCCACCCAGAGAGGGGTGCGGTGGCAGAGCCGGGAGGGCGGGGTGGGAGGTCGCGCCCTGGCCACTGGGAGCGACCCTGAGAGCGGTGAGTAGCTGGGGACCCAGGGACACAAGCTCCGATGGACGGCGGACAGGGTGACGGGCCCTCGGGGAACACGGGCCTTGAGAAGGACGCCGTGCACGGAGCAGGGACAGGCAACCAGACACGTTAGGAGGGAGGAGATCCCTGGGAAACAGGCCCTGTCCAGATGGGAACGACCTGGACATCGACAGGAGCTCCCGAGCTGGGGAGGGGAGGGGGGTCGGTCCAGGGCTCAGCCCAGAAGCCCAGCCCAGCCCGCTAGCCCGCCCGGGCTCGGCGCGGTCACCTACGGGCTGCACGGTGCGCAGAACTCATTGGAGTCGGGGTGGAGGTAGCGGCCCGTCTGGCACTGGCACTTGCGGTTGCTGGTGGGAGTGCACTCCGCCACCACTTCCTGGTCTGCAGGGCAGAACGAGGGGTCAGTCCCAGGGCCACGCCGTCCTCCTGTCCCCACGGGTGCCTACGGGTGCCCCCACGTGGCCACGCGGGCTGGAAGCAGTGTGGCCGCAGGAAGGACCTCAGCCAGCCAAGCGGGTGCACCCGATGGTCCCGAGGGTGGTGGGAAACCCTGCTGGGGACGCCCCCCCCTCTGCACCCGTCTCCCCAGGGCCACCCGACAGCCGGGGTGCTGGCTCGGAAACTGAGTCCCACAGATCCGCTGGGGACCACAGTCTCAAAATGTCCCCAGGGGGGTCTCTCACTTGCGAAGCTGACAGCCTGCCTCGCCCTGTTCGCCAGCTTCCTGGGTGCCTCCCAGAACACAGGGTGCTTCCTAGGGGCGCCCACTTTGTAACCGCGGTTACGGAACTCAGTGCCCCAGGGACCCAAGTTCTAGAAGTCACGCCAGTGTCCGTCTGAGGTTAGGTAACCGTCGTCAGATTTGGGACAGAAAACCCAAGTCATCTTAGCTAATCCCTTGGGGTCGGGGCTGCGGGCTGTGGGGTAGAGGTCTCTACTCCGTCCTCGCGGATGAACAATAAGGGGACATTTTATTTTATTATTTTTTTATACTCACCCGAGGACATTTTTCCATTTTTTTGTTCAGGTAGAGTGGGAGGAAGAGAGAGAGAGAGAGAGAAACATTGACGTGAAAGGGTCACATCGAGTGGCTGCCACCTGCACGACCAACCAGGGCCGGGGACAAACTGCAACCGAAGCACATGCCCTTAGTGGGAACCGAACCTGGGTCTCTCCGGACCGCAGGCTGAGGCTCTAACCGCTGAGCCAAACCGGCCAGGGTAATGAAGGGACATTTTAAGGAAAAATTGGGTGACAGAAAATCTGCGTCGAGCTGGATGTTGGGGAACCCTCCTGATCCTCTGGGTGGGTGGGTGACAGCCCCTGGGTCTGTGCGGGAATGAGTGTGTTCCTAAGGAGTGTGGGCGGTGGCGATTGGGGTGAAATAATATGATGTCTGTAGCTGACTATGAAGTGGTTCGCCCTGTGTAACACATGCACTCATGGATGTATGTACACATGTAAGCACACATGTGATCAAATACTACAGACTGTTTAATCACCTGCGCCCTCTGTTCTATTTTTTCCATTCTCTACATGCTTTGAAAATGTTTAATAAAATATTTTCATTCCCTGAGGAGTGATATTGACCCTATCACGTCTTGGTGTGTGTGAGTATTTCCCAAGCTTTCTAGATCGAATTCACTAACTTCCCATTTGAACACAATGATTCAAAAGGGAAAAGATGTGGTTATGCACTCTGAACCAGGTGTCCCTGCGGGTCTTGTCACTGTCTCGCACAGTCACCACCCACGGGGACAACGTTCGTGCTGATCAACGTCCTCCAGCTCTTGGCAGCGGGGCGCCTGGGCTTTCGGGGGTGCTGTCCTTCCCTTCCCCAGAGGCTGGGGCACGGGCACCTGGCTTCGCAGTGTCCAGGGCTGACAGCGGACATCCTGTGCTCCATGGACAGGCCCGATGTCCGGGGCGTCTGGGGACGCAGTCCCAGCCCGGCCGCAGCGGGGTCCAGGGCTGCAGTGTCAAGGTCAGGCAAGGTGGGTGTGCTGAGACTCACCCTCGGAGCAGGAAGAACACAGCAAGCAGGACCGCAGGTCGTTGGGGAAGGCCGTGAACGTCCCTTCATCACACGTCGCACACTCGCTCTGGGTGTGGGTGCTGCTGCAGGGCTCACGGACATACTGGCCTGTGCGACAGGTTGGGCAGGAGTCACACCCCCGCCAGGCACGCCTGGCGTCCCCGCTGTGAGGCCCGCACCCCAGTCCCCGGGGCTGGCCGCTCCAGGACAGCACAGAAATACGAACATCTTGGACTTTTGCATCAGAATAACCTCTGGCCCTGGCTGGCGTGGCTCAGTGGTTACAGCATCGACCCACACACCGAAGGGTACTGGGTTCAAGTCCTGTTCAAGGGCATGTACCTGGGTCGCAGGTTCAGTTTCCAGCCCCAGTTCAGGGCGTCTGTAGGAGGCAACCAGTCAATGTGTCTCTCTTACGTCGATGTTTCTCTCTCTCTCTCTCTCTCTCTCTCTTCCTCACCCTCTCCCACCGGCTCTATCTGAACTTACATGCAAAAATGTCCTTGGGTGAGGATAAAAAAATATATATTGTGTTAAAATTGATTTGAGAGAGAGAGAAACATCGACGAGAGAGAACACTGACTGGCTGCCTCCTGCTTGCCTCCCAGTCGGGATCTGGCCCACAACCCAGGCACGTGCCCTGACTGGGAAGCAAACCTGCGACCTCTTGGTGCAGGGTCGACGTTCAATCACTGAGCACACGGGCCGGGCTGGATGTGTCTTGGCTCCGGGGACCCGCCGGACAGAACGCGAACCGCCGGGACTCACCCGCAGGGCAGCGCCGGCAGCAGTTGCTGGCAGAGGGGTACTCGTCGAGCCCGCACGGACTCATCAGGCTGCGGGGCTCCCAGCTCGGCTTGGAAATCAGCTTGGTCGAGGCGGCCACCGCCAGCTGCAGAAGGACAAGAGCGTGTCCTCGGTACTGGCCCCCTCACGGGCCCTGTGCTGGGCTGGTCCCTCTGTCACATGCGGTGAATCCCAATGTCACCGGAAAGCAGCGGGCACTGTGACCCCGCGCCATGTCTCCCCCGTGACCTTCTCACTGGAGAGTTGGGGCGCCTTCCCGCACACGCCCCAGCCCACGCGAACTCCACCGTGTCTGCTGCCCGGGCCACGGGCAGGTCAGGGGCTCACTGGAGCCTCCTGTGGGGTCAGAAAATGAGCCTCCTCATCCCATCCCCCAGGGTGGAACGTGTTACAATGTTCAGGTTTTCCAAGGAGAAGAATTTAGCAACAGTAACATCGACATCAGCTAGACAAACATAATCAGGGGTGGCCACACTTAAAAGTGGGACAGTGGCCACCCCATCAAGCCAGGGGGCACGAAGGAGCAGGTTCCCTGAAGGAGGAGGGGGTGGCCGGACAGGGGGAAACAAGGGTGAACTGTCCTGAGCTGCTCAGAGGGGCCCCTTCAGCAGGTCTGGGCCCCGCGACCCCCCTGCAGACAGAGCGCCAGGGTTGGGGCTGCTGACAGATGGGGGGAGGGCAGAAACAGTGACAGCATTGTTGGGGACAGCACTTGTGTGGGGACTCTTCTGAGGCTCTGCTTGATTCCAGGAGAAAAAGCGAGAGGGGAGGGGGCCACAAGCACCTGGACCCCCAACCAGCAAAGTGGCAGAAGTAAGTCCCTCCTCAGTAGTAATAACTTTAAATGTAAATGCATCAAACTCTCCCATAGAAGACAGAGATGGACACAATGGATTTAAAAAATGAACCAGGCCCTTGTTAGTTTGGCTCAGCGGTCAGAGCGTTGGCCTGTGGTCCAGAGAGACCGGGGTTCGGTTCCCGCTAAGGGCATGTACCTCGGTTGCAGTTTGTCCCCGGTCCTTGTTGGGTTGTGCGGGTGGCAGCCACTCGATGTGTCCCTTTCATGTCGATGTTTCTCTCTCTCTTCCTCTCTCTCCCTCCCACTCTATCTGAACAAAAAACGAAAAAATGTCTTCGGGTGAGGATAAAAAAAAAAAAAAAAAAGATGCAGCCCTGGCTGGTTTCGCTCAGTGGTGAGCGCACTGACCGTGGACCAAAGGGTTGCAGGTCGACCTCCCGCCCTAGTCAGGGTCGTGCGGGAAGCAACCAATCGATGTGTCTCTCTCCCCTCGATGTTTCTCTGTCTCTCTCCCCTCCTCCTTCCTTCCCTTCCACCCTCTCTCCGTCTTGATCTTCTCTGTCACACGAATGTTTTTCTCTCTCTCGAATCAATAAACATATCCCCAGGAGATGGTAAAAATGACTGCCTTGTTTCCCCCAAGGTTTCTGCCCTACTGCCCCAACAATCCTGTACCTCAACCCTGCCCGGTCCAGCCTTCCAGAAACGGAACCTCGCCCGGTTCACCTGTGGCAGTGAATCTAAACTTCTGACGAACCCCGGAGCTGCGTCCTGACCATCCTCCTGACACCTTTTCATAATTGTTTTAAAATCCTCACCGAGGATATATTTTATTCACTGATTCCAGAGAGAGGTGCCATAGAGAGGAAGAAAGAGAAAGAGAGAGCGAAACATCCGTGTGAGAGTAAACAGCCATCGGATAGATGCCTTCCCTCAGGATCGAACCCGGGGTTTTCAGCGCACCGGAGGGTGTTCAGCCAACTGCGCCACACCGGCCGGGGCTCCACCTTCTGTCCAGCTATAAAGTCGCTGCGTGTTGGTCAGCTACCAATTTCCCCCTAACATTTTGCTGGCATCAACAGGACAAGTGACCAGTGTGAAGTCTAGAAACGATTCACAACGTCCGGCACGTTCAGCTTTAGCGCAGCGGTTCTCAAGCTGCCTGAGGCCGTGACCCCGTAACACAGGTCCTCCTGTTGTGGGGACCCCCAACCACGAGATTATTTTCGTTGCTACTTCATCACTGCAATTTTGCTACTGTTATGTCTTAGGCGACCCCTGTGAAAGGGTCGTTCGACCCCCAAAGGGGTTACAACTCACAGGTTGAGAATCGCTGCTTTAGACCCTTGGTAGTTAAACCATAGAAACAGGACGAGCCCTGGCAGGTTTGGCTCAGTGGTTGGAGCGACGGCCTGTGGACCAGAGAGTCCTGGGTTCGGTTCCCGCCAGGGGCACGTACCAAAAAGAAAGAAAGAAACAGGACGAGACTCCCATGTGCAGCAGCAGGTGTTCACAGCCCTCATCTGGGGGCTGTACATGGTTTCGAGGCAGCAGCAGGGACTTCCCAGGGCAGGGCATGCGTTGGCAGGGAAGTACACTGAGGTGCTACCTGTGTCCTGAACCACCCGCCTCCCTGTCAGGTGGTCCCATGATTCTCGAACGCAAGGCCCAGCTGGCGCGAAGGCAGACAGCAAAATGTTTACTCGGTAGACATACTCTTTTTATTATTTTTTTTTATCCTCACCTGAGGACATTTTTCCATTTTTTTGTTCAGATAGAGTAAGAAGGAGAGAGAGGAAAAGAGAAACATCGATGTGAAAGGGACACATCGAGTGGGCTGCCTCCCGCACGACCCAACCAGGGCCGGGGACAAACCACAACCAGACATACTCTTTTTTTTTTCAAGAAGAGAAAAAAAAATTATTTTTTCCAAAGAAGCAGACAAATCAAAAAGGTTTTAATCAAAAAGAATCAAATCACCCTGGCTGGTTTGGCTCAGCGGTTAGAGCGTTGGCCTGTGGTCCAGAGAGACCCGAGATCGGTTCGCGCTAAGGGCACTTATATCGGCTACAGTTTGTCCCTGGCCCTGGTTGGGTCGTGTGGGTGGCAGCCACTTGATGTGTCCCTTTCATGTCGATGTTTCTCTCTCTCTCTCTTCCTCTCTTTCCCTCCCACTCTATCTGAACAAAAAATGGAAAAATGTCCTTGGGTGAGGATAAAAAAAAAGAATCAAATCAATGTTCGGCCGGTGTGGCTCAGTGGTTGTGTGTCGACCCCTCACCAAGAGGTCACTGGTTCGATTCCCAGTCAGGGCACATACCCAGGTTGCAGGCCTGATCCCCAGTGGGGGGCCTCAGGGGGCGGCCAGTCGATGTTCTCTCTCATCGATCTTTCTATCTCTCTTTCCCTCTCCCTCTAAAATCAATAAAGGGAAAACAAAAAAAGAATCAAATTAAGATATCAGATTGGGAAGAAATAAGGAATAAAAAGTATGTTACACATAGATTTAAAGGACTAGCCAATCTGCCCCCCCCCTCTCTGAATATATGGAGACACATCCATCAAGATGCTTACCCTTAAAATACTAGAATTTTGGAAAAGTCAGTCTACAAATACATTATTAATTGCATTGTTATAATGAAATTAGTTCTATAATGTGAAGACAGCAAACAGCACCAATACCAGAAAGTTAAGAAAGTAAATACACTGTTACTTAAAATAATATCTAATCACTGACTGGGACAGAAATGAACTATAGCCATTAGCAAAATTACTTAAGCTACCGTTTGACATAGAGGCAATATTTAAAGACTAGCACATGCCCTTTGCCCAGCGACAGGCCTGTGCCCGGGCACACCAGCGGCGCGCGTCAACATAGAAAATATTATTAAATGGGATGGATTTTTTTTTTTTTCATTGCTCAACCTAGAACCCAGTCTTTGCCAATATTAAGCCAACGGCGGCGTTTTTAGTATTCTAACCACTCTTACCTGTCCCAGTGAAAACACAACACAACACAACACAACACAACACAACTCCCCCATGAAGCATCAGGCTAGATGCGTCTGCGCAGCAGTAGCAAGGCATCTACAAATGGGCTCCTAGCAGCGCATCAAAACGCTGCTAATGAAAAGACAGGAGCAAATGCTGTAAGAAGACCACGTTATTCCACACAGAATCCCAAGTTACTATCTCTGGTTTCTTAATTCTGGGAAGACTAGAGATGAACAGGTGTAGGTGTAAATGGAGCCAGGGAGAAAGAAGCTTTAAATGGCACATACTGTTCATATTTTCAATTACCCACGATCATTTTTTTTTTTTGGATAGAGCGGGAGGGAGAGAGGAAGAGAGAAGAGAAATATCGACGAAAAGAAACATATCGACTGGCTGCCACCCACATGACCCCAACTGGGGCCGCGGACAAACTGCAACCGAGGTATGTGCTCTTAGCGGGAAGCGAACCAGGGACTCTGGTCCGCGGGCCGATGCTCTAACTGCTCAGCCAAACCGGCCAGGGCAATTACCCACGATAGTTTTAATGCTTGCAGATAACTCCAACTATTATCTAAATTTTTGAAGCATGCAGAACTAAAAAGCCAGCAGAACTTTGTTGTTAACCCCAAAAATAGCATCGCATCTTAAGTGAAAATGAAACAGGCATGAAATTTTTACAGTGTTCACACCACCCTCTCCCTGTTCCCGTCATCAGGTGGTCTACAGACTACCTGGTTTAAAGTATGTGGTAATTCAGTGCAGAAAATTAAGGTCACAGACAAAATACAACTTTTAATACACCATTAATACTAACGATTAAAAACTACTGCCCAGTCTTATGCATTTACCCTAAAACATTTTCTGAAAGTAAATTCTGAAAGAATTATGTAAAAGACAACCTTTAAAATGTGAATGGCCTTTACTACCTCGATCGTCTATCCTTTTTTGTCTTTTCAGGACTTTTGTCCAGTGTTTTCTCATGATCTCCCCTGCACTTTGGGCAATACTATTTCCCCTTTGGTTATAGGTAAGTGCAACACACGAAAAGTGAAGCCACTCGATTGGACACTGCTCATGATCACATCCGATCATCTCCCCATAAGACAATTGGTTACATACACAGTATGTAGGTTCACTGGGATCTACTGCAAACTCAACAGGTGCAGTGTGGGAGACTTTTTGCATGGCGTCAATTTTGTTAAAATCTGCTCTGCCATCGCCTGCCCCAAGGCAGGATATCTCTGCATTCTGCATCTCTTTATCTCTGCATTTTGCATTTCTTTAAGTAACCA